AGTGACACGTGTCCCATCCATAGTAGCTGACTACCTTAACGACTATGGTGACATGGCAGTTTAGAAAAAAATTTCAACTACGTAACATTCAAGTATATTATATTAAAAAAAAGAGCAATATGGTCAATGTCCCTCCGTCATCTTGGTTTGATATTTGCTTTTTTGACTCTCTCGGAGCAGAGTTGATCTAACATAATATATCAATTTTTTTATCAGGTTTAATCTCAATCTTAGATCTGATTAAATTATATATTATTTTAATATATTAAGTATTTTTATTATATAAGTTTATATTATACATTAATTATATTAAACAATTAAAAATACCATCACATATAATATAAGCTTATATTATCAGATTTTATATGGGTTTTATGAGTATAATGTTACATGACCCAAGAAAACTTTCCTACACACATAACTAAGAGGTGGGGTCCACATATTTTTTTTCTCTTTCTTTATTCCACTTTCTCTCTCCTTTTTATTGTGAGTGTTGAAAAATTTTCTTACATCATGCAACATTATACTTATTAAATCCATTTTATATACCACATCTGGTTGCACAATTTTAGAATTTTAATTTTTAAAATTAGAGTTTTTAGTTTAGGATTATTTGTTACTAGTTTATGACCCATGCCTTCGCACGGGACGGTGGTAAGTAAAAAGTAAAAAATATAATTAAATAAATAGTAAAATTACATGAACTTTTCTTGACATTGACTTTATCAGATATGACTTGTCAATCAGAGCATCAAGCTCTTGAGGATATTTGTCCAAATTATCGCCCTAAAATCAAATATGCAAATTACTAGTTAATTGGTTTGTGTTAAGACAAGCAAAATAAACAAATAGTAAACCCATAGACACATAAGACTTGCCCATTGAAAATGCTGCTAATGCAATTCTGCAGCTGTAATGCATAACAGGTTGGTTGCATCTTTGTCAAACAAAACAAACGAAGTAGAGTTGTGTCGTCGACCACCATGACTTGCAGACTGAACCTACAAGTAGAAGTCAGATTAAGTTTGGATGAATAAAAGTTAGGACTATAAAGCATATTTTGTAAGGCAGGACGATAATGAACACAAAGACTCACTTGGGATAATAAGTGGGCAGATGAATGTCACAATTTCTACAATACCACTTGTCAAAAATTCGCAAACACCGAATGGGTGCATTTCTTAGAGCCTTTGTACCACCACTTGAAAGCAGATTTGATGCCCTTGATAGTGGCATACGTGACACATGTCATAGCCTAATTACACCAAACATTAAAAATCAAGGTTGACCATGCTGTTATTTAAATCATGTAAGTGTCAATTGTCATAATATACATTACTACCTCTCTACAATCCTTTATGTCACAAATAAATTTCGTTGTAGCTTCCTTCCAAAAATCAACCGATTGTGAATTCTTAATGGATTGATTCGAAAGCTGCATCAGTATTTGTGCATTTTCTGATTGTGCATCTGGAAATCTGTGTATACAACAATATTGATTGAATTATTTTATTGGTATATAATAACAATAATATGATGTATAAGTTACAAAATCTCAGATTAACCAAAATGACCATAAGATCGTTGTTACATGCTGCTATGTTTTTTTCCCCTGATGGCTAAACCGAGAGATATCATCTTATGGCTTCACTTATGTAGGAGAAATAATTAAGAATGATTGATTTAGAAGTCAATTTTTAAAAAATAAACTAAAATACAAAAATGTATTTGAACTCTCACCTTAAACTTACAACTTTTCTAAAGTCAATTTCAAGTGTGAGCGTCATGTATTTATGAAAATAAAAATCCTTAACTACCGTAGTTATAAAATACAAAAAACAATATCACATGATCAAAGGCCTCTGTATGTTCATCGTTCCAATTTTCATTTTTCTCAATGGGGTATTGAAATCTTTTCCCTAGACAATAAATTATAATGGATGTTAAACAAAACTCCTTTATTTGCAATGACTATACACGCTGTTAGTTTGTTCAGTTCGAGGTCATTCTTCACAAGTTGAATGAGTTTTTTCTTTTAATTATTGTAAAACAAAAAATTGAAAAAATCCCATATGGTTTACCATTGGTACCCCCATGTTTTTTTATCACTTACCTTATCAAGTACTTTAGTGTTTATAAAGGCAAAATGAACAAATTAGCCAAATTTTTAACTGCATTAAAAGTGAATTTAGATTAAAAAAAATCACAAGTGAGGTAAGTGACAAAAAAAGAAAACAAAACAAAAACACACGGGATAAATTATTCTAGAGCAAATCACATGTTTTTTTTTATAACTTTTTCCTAATATAAAATAAAGTGATCTGGTGTATGATTTGAGTAATCTAAGTCCCAAGTTCAAAAATCACAACCTCAAGAACTAAATCATAAGTGATCAATTTTGTTCATGTTCAACACTATCTTCATATATCTTAGAAAGAACTATTTTTTTTGGTAGTCTTAGAAAGAACTCAACATCCAAAGAATTGTCATACCGGATAAAGATCAACATCCAAAGAGTTTTCATTTTTGAACTTGATTTTTCGTGTTGTTTTGACGTGCAAGCACCTAAGTGACATAATCATCATATTCAATACTTGACTGTGGCCTCTGGACTTATGGTTAAACTCGAGTGATAACTTATATTAATTTTCACAAAACATCATAGACGTTGGTGTTAATTTAAAACTTAAAATATCTTAATTAAAAGACAACTCATAAGGTTCAAATTCTTCTGACTTCTAATTTTGATTTTATGTAAAAAAAATTAATTAACAAGTAACATTTTTTTAATATATTATTGATTAAGTTTGTTTATAATAATTGCATGAGAAGGGGTTAAAATGACAAAAGTCACAATTTAATTTTCTCTGTTTTTTAGGAAAATTATTTGACCCTTTCTTCTCTATTTTTTGTGTGTGCTTGGACCCTTTCAATTTCTCGTTTGATTTGGTTTGACACTTTCTTCTCATTGTTTGCGAGTGTTTGGACCCTTTCAGTTTCTCGCGTGATAAGGTTTGACATGTTTCTTCTTTCAAGCTTGAAATGACTTACTACAACAATATTTCAACTGTCGAAAATATATTATAATAAAGGCTTTAACGTCTCTACAGTCAATATAAATAAATTATCTACATTCATCCTCAAAATAACATCGTTTTCAATTGGAAAATTAAAAAATTATAACAAAAAAGATTATAATAACACTAAAATAAATTTAATTATAAAAATACCTTGATTTCCGCCTCAAAACAACGTTGTTTTGAGCTCAAATCGAACCCATAATAAAACCATTTAATTTCAGTTCCACGCAGTGGTCTTCAAATTCATTTTTCCATTACAGTATCATAACAATAGAAAATTGACCGTGTTAACATTTCATGAAATAATTTCGGAATGAAATAGAATATTGCATAACATAAGATAATTTCCTCCAATACCTTTAGAATTAACCTTAATTTTGCATCATTTGTATGAGTGCATGCATATGCTGTGTATCAGATACGTCATAACTAGATGTAGTCAACTAAAACAGTCTCAAATTGTAGAAATACTTGCTCACATTCGGATTATTCTTGGTCCCAAATGGGGTGTGCGGTTGACTTTGGTTGGATTTAGAAAAGTAATTTGGCTCGGGTAAATTAAATCGGTTTTAAAAGGGTGGTTTGATTTTTGAACCAATTTGGTTCTTAAACAGGTTCAAAAACATATAATGTGATCATGTTGGTTTGCGGTTTGGTTTGTGATTCCGTTTGGTCCAATTCATTTATTTTTTTATAGGGAAAAATTATTCTTATGCTACATTAGATAAATTTTCTCTCCTATATATCATTTGATAACCGTATCACTTTTTTTTCCTTTTTTTTCCTAGGTAGTAGAGCCTATAAGTTTGTCTCTATGACATGAAATAACTTATCTCCTTTAACATGAGATTAATAAAACTTTTTTTTCAGGTGAAGGAGCTCACAAGTTTGTCTCTATGACATGAGATAACTTATCTCCTTTAAACATGAGATTAATAAAACTTTTTTTTTATATTCCTAGTAGTAGATTTAGTTTGATTTTTAGCTCAAAACAAATCAAATCGGTAAAGTGATTTGATTCTTAAACCGAATCAAATTTTGGAAAATGATTCAGTTATTGAATCAATTTGTAAAAATGAATCCGATCTTGAATTAGTTTGAAATTTTTTTTATGCACTTCAGATTGATTTATAGTTTGGATCAATTCATTTATTTTGTTTTTTCATAGGGAAATAATATTGTAACAACTAATTAGTGTTATAACCAATGTTACTACCAATCAATTTCACCGTTAGATCGATTATGTTGATCCAGCGGTTATATGTTTTCAATCTTTGTATGATTATGATTCCCTATATTTAATACTTTATATTTATTTTCACCTTTGTATGGTTACGACTTTTCATACTTAATGCTTTCACAATAAATATGAAAAATCACAACTATACAAAGAAACAAATAAATATAACCATTGGATCAACATAATCAATCTAAAGTGAAATTCATTGATAGTAACACTAATTGATTATTACAATATCCTCACCGTTTTTCATATCCCTAATTCCAAATGTTATTATTTTTTTAAGTTAACCTTTTGTTCAACTTTGACTAATAATCCCTGGAATCAGTTCAATCATCATAACAAGTATAAAAAAATTGTACCGAACATTTAGCTACATGGTTAATTTCATGAGCCAAAACCAATTTAATCATTGGATCATTAAATGTGTCAAACTAGTGACTTGAAAGGTCATGATCATTGAATATAACATTAAAAGATTATGAAGATTTGAACGATCACGGGGTTGGCTCAAAAATAATAAGATCAAACCTGTCATTTATTAATAAAATCAAAGAAGATGTATGACCTATGCATTTATTTTTCACCTACCTGACCGTTTTTTATTGTGAGATGAATAAATTCCCATTTTGTTTATTGGATGAAAGACGACGAAAAGAAAAAGTAGATAGAAAATTTAAGTCAACCATCTACTCCTATGGTTTGTCAAGAGCCTCCATTAACAAAGTGACCAAAGCTCCACTTTTTTCTTGTACTTTTTGCTTTATGATCCTTCTAATCCAAACCCAAATCATCAAAAGTTGAAAAGTTTCTGAAATCTCCGCTACTCAGTGCGCAACCACTAGGACCTGCCTAAAGTCTAGTGGGTTCTTTTTTTTTCTCCTGTTTGGATAGTGCTTTTTGCATTTTGGGTTGTTGCTCTTTTCAACTCACTTTGCAAATTTTGGCTTACTCATGGTTTTGTGAGTTTGTTTGTTTGCTTGTACATGAAAGCTATAACCCAAAATCTTTGATTCTTGGGGTGATTTTTGTTGATGGGTGCTTGCTGGAGCAATAGGATTAAGGCTGTGACTCCTTCAAATACAGGTAAAGCTGCTTCTTGAATTGCAAGTTGAATCAATTTTGTTTCCTCCTAATATCTGAATGAGCTTATTTTTCTCTCAAGATTTGGTTTTTTGGGGTTGGGGTGAATATGGGATTGATTGTCACAAACTTAAAGTTGTTAACTTTATAGAGATTTGGGCTGCCATAGACATGTATACTAGTCTGCATGATATGCTTAAGATCCTTTCATTTTAAGGTTGCTATGTCTTATCTGATATGGTGATGTGTGCTTCCTCACCGTTGAATTTGATCTGGGATGCCCATTGCATTCCTAAATTCTAGATTTGGGCATTAATGTAGACTTTAATTCTTTTTAAACCCCTTGAGAAGCCCCACTCAGGAGTAGGGTTTTCTCTAAGGTGATTAAAAACCATTCCTCATTTGACTATCACTAGCTAGGGTAGGGGTGAGGGCAATACTTCTATGTAGGGTTATCCTTGCATATTTGCAAAGATATTGTTTTCCAGATTCAAACACCTTTCAATCATAAAGGATTCTTGGGAAAAAAAACTGTAATTTGAGAGAATATATCATTAACAACATAAGGATAATTTTGGGTTTTGTTGGATTGCATGTCAATTTTGTAATGAGTGATGACCTTGTTTATTTTATTTGTTATAAGGCCAATGATGGTGACTGAAGTTTTGTGAACTTGTTATTTTTACAGGGTTCACTTCTAGAAGTGTGAGCAGAGATGGCTATGACATCAGCTCAAATAGCAGGAGCTCATCAGCCTCCATACCCCTGACTCCTCGGAGTGAGGGTGAGATCTTACAATCTTCCAATATGAAAAGCTTCAGCTATAGTGAGCTAAGAACAGCCACAAGAAATTTCCGACCAGACAGTGTCTTAGGAGAGGGTGGATTTGGTTCAGTTTTTAAGGGCTGGATTGATGAGCATTTACTTGCTGCTACCAGGCCAGGAACAGGCATGGTTATTGCTGTGAAGAGACTTAATCAAGACGGGTTTCAGGGTCACAAGGAATGGTTGGTATGTATCAAATATCAATCCTTTTCTGGATACTCATTAACTTTCCCATTCTGATGCATAATCTGGCTTTAAGTAGTAGTGTAGTAGCGTAATTCTAGGCAGCTCCAAGCTTTTTTGAATACTCATTTGCTTAACATGCCTGATCCTGTTTGAGGGATTTCTGTAAAACTCGGCTTGTTAACTTTACCTGGTTTCCTCCTTTGATTTTATGGGCATTAATGGCCAAATGGTGCAACTAAAATATAGAACTTTTTGGATGACTAGATTAGGATACTAAAGTTCAAGAGATGTCCAACACTGATTGCTTAGTGGTTAATTTTCTTCTTGTTTTGACTTGCAGGCTGAAATCAACTATCTTGGGCAACTACAGCATCCTAATCTTGTCAAGTTGATAGGTTACTGCTTAGAGGATGAGCATCGGCTTCTAGTTTATGAATTTATGCCTAAGGGCAGTGTGGAGAATCATTTGTTCAGGAGTAAGTACCTTCCAGTTTTCCAGTTTATATGAATTCACTCCCCATTAAACTTCGACTAGCAAGACTGGGGTTTGAATCCTTCTAGTCTTACCTTTGCATATTTGCAAAGAGGTTATTTCCGAATTCGAATCAGTGACTTTTCAGTTGTAACGGAGCAATTTTACAACTGCTCCAGACTCGCTCTCTTTTCTAGTTTATGAATGTTAGAGAATATTTAGGATATCTTAGATTATCTGACAATATCTTTAGAATATATTGAATCTATTAGTAATATAAATTATGGATGATACTTACGTCGACAGAAACCATCCTTAATGCAGGAGGATCATATTTTCAGCCACTCTCTTGGACTTTAAGATTGAAAATAGCCCTTGGGGCAGCAAAGGGTCTTGCTTTTCTCCACGGCACAGAAACTAAAGTCATATACCGCGACTTTAAGACTTCGAATATCCTGCTTGATACTGTATGTATATATTGCAAATTTGGCCTTGTTATGGTTGAATATGATGTATTTAGCATTCAATCACTAAGCTGCTTGATTCACTTTTGTTTTGCAGAACTATAATGCCAAACTTTCTGATTTTGGGCTGGCCAGAGATGGACCAACTGGTGATAAGAGCCATGTTTCTACTAGGGTCATGGGAACCCATGGATATGCAGCACCCGAATATCTAGCAACAGGTATAGAATCTGGTGTTTGTCAAATCGGGTTTCTAACTTACATTTTGGGTTTCCATGCTACAGTTTTTCAATCTTAAAATATGCTGTTTTTGTTGATAGACTGCATAGATCATTTTTATGCCACTTTCTTTGTTTAGTACTCTTCTCTGAAGTGGTGTTTACACATTATTCCATAGGAAAGGTTTCAAGCAAACTTACATGTACTTAGTGCCCTTAGTTGCATTTACATTCTTCAAGCTTTCGCAGAATACCAATTACATGGTTTGCTAGTACCACTTTTCATGGGATATTCCTGTGCACTTTCTGCATAAAACCATTCTGTTTCAATTTTCATTTATAGGTTGTGATAATACTAGATTTGAGTGACATTTAGTATCTTACGTTAATATGAAAACAAGGGGCCTTTTGACCTGTTTAATAGAAAAGGGAAACATTTCCATCATTGATTCAAAACCCAAACTTTTTTTCAAATTAATGCAGTGAGATGCGTATGAATATGTGTGTTTAAGTCGCGCATGGGGTGATGTGCAACTTGTCCAAAAGCTTGCATTATCGTGCAAGTCATACATCACCCCTTGCGTAACTTGCAATGCCCCGACACTGTCAGGTGCGTCTAGCTTTTGCATAAGTCACGCATCACTCCATGCGAGACTTAAATGTGCATACTTCATGCTTGTCTCACCGCATTATTTTGGTAAGATATTTGACTTTTGAATCAATTAGGGAAAATGTTTCCCTTTTGACATTATTATGGTCAAAAGGCCGAACACAAGGAGGTGATGCATATTATATTTTTGTTACTAAATTATTCCTTCTTTTTTTTATACTAGGCCATCTCACTGCCAAGAGTGATGTATATAGTTTTGGAGTAGTTCTTCTGGAAATGTTATCAGGAAGACGTGCTATAGACAAGAACAGGCCATCTGGAGAACATAACCTAGTTGAATGGGCAAAACCTTATCTTTCTAACAAACGTAGAGTTTTTCGCGTAATGGATAGCCGTCTTGAAGGCCAGTATTCCCTAACTCGAGCTCAAAGTGCAGCCACACTTGCTTTTCAATGTCTTGCAGTAGATCCTAAATACAGACCCACTATGGATGAGATAGTAAAAGCATTGGAGCAGCTACAGGAATCAAAGGACAAGTTGAAAAATGTTAATCAGAAAGAGCATAGAGTACGTGGTTCTGGCCTTGGCCATCCTAATGGGCTCTCTCCATATTGCAAAGGAAGTGTAGATGCTCCCAAAAAGATGGTTTATCCTAGACCTTCTGCTTCTATGCTTAAGTGAGGGAATTTTGTGATGAGGTGAATATTAAGTAACTGCAAGCAGTTCTTAGGTGTGGCATGAATCATATTTATTAAGCAATGTATAGTTCCTTTTTTTTCTTTCTTGTTGTAATTTGGCCTACATTTGAAATTCTTTTTTCATTGTGGTCCTGAGTTTTTGTCATAGTGCAATCTAATCTGGATCCGTAAGGTGTTTTATGGTTATGTAATCCTGTACAACATTAGAAGGTAGCTTATGTCGATGATGCTCTACCTTTTTTTTTTGTGAATTCAATGACCCTAATTGTCTCTTTCGACAAGTCAGATTCGCTCGGTATCTCCCCAACCCAGGTGGGAAAAGGAGATCGCATAAATATGAAATTAATCTCAAGTCGAGTGGCATGATAAATATCCAGCTTTAACTTCAAAAGTCTTCTTCGGAATTCAAACCTCTACTCTTTTGAGAGTTCCTCCATTCTAATCCTAGGATTATGCTTTAGTTCGCCTTTTATGACTCCTTAATTTTCAAAATAGTCAACTTCATAATCACAATCCTAGTTCTATTAATGGGTACTTATTTCTTATTCTGTTATCTACAAAGATATACTTAAGGTTCAACTACTTATTAGACTAAAGAATCTATACTATTATATTTTGTTAAATGCTCGAATTATAAATACAATGAACAAAAATACAAAAATATTGAGGTGATCAATCTCAATATTTAGCAATCAAAGTAATTATAATTCAAATCAGATTGAAAAAACTCTAATACACGGTCTTCGTGGAACAAATATTAACTGAGAAATACTACTTATATGCTTTGAGTTTTAATTTTAATGTTATACAAAATACTTGGAATTTAAGTCTTACTGAAATTGACTTTATTCAAGAATATCAAAGTACAAACTACTACACCAAATCCTTACAAAATCTAATTATCACAACCAAAATATAAATGTGGTCTAATACAAAACTAAATAAAAACATAGACTTTATTGGCTAATACTTCTTCTTGCACACACATCATCTACTTTAGGCTCTGTCTTCTACATCCTCAGTATTACTTTTATATTTCCTTATTATAAAGCTTCTTCACTCAAAAATTCCTTTCTTTTATCTTCCTCTTTCTTAGTAAAGTTTTTTTTTTTTTTTTCTAAATTTCTCGAGACCCTTCTCTCCTTAATTTCTCTTTATTTTCAAGCAATGGCTAATGGTTCATCTAACTTCTACTTATAGGAAAAATATTACCATGCCAAATGTAAAAATTAATATGATAATAGTAAAATATTATTCACCTAATAATCATTAAAGAAAACATTCACATGTGGAATGTCTTGGAATTATGTTTTCATAATTTATGATTGATTTATATATTTTTGAAGTGTTGTTTATAATAATTTATGATTGATTGATATATTTTTAAAATGTTATTTATAATAATTTGTTATGAATTATATGTTTTAAAAATATTATTTGTAATAATTTATGATTGAATTATATGTTTTGGAATGTTATTTGTAATAATTTATGATTGATTTATTATTATTTTTATTATTATTATTATTATTATTATTTTGAGGGTTTTACGCTAACTGGGCAAAAGTCATGAAAAAATGTGGTGAAACCAAGAATAGATATTTATTTTGTCTCTTTTATATATTTTTTCATTAAAATATTGGGTAAGAATCATTGTGATTTTTCTATTTTACAAGTTGGGCATTTATTGCCTCAATGTTCCAACTTCAAGTGAAGGATTAGAAATAAGGATAAGGATGTGAAAATCATATCACATTATATCAAGGGTAAGGACAATTTGTTCAGTTTTGTATCTTTATCTTACCTCTTAAGTCAATTATAAATTATATAAAGTTCTCCTATTAAATGATTAAAGACACAGTATTATCCTAAAATATGCATCAGATGCGATTGCAAGAAATCAGAAAACAATCCAAAATTGAAAAGCATGAAATTACCATGACCTTAGCAGTCTCATGGTCCGGGTCCAAAACAATCAAAATGTGTTTCTACAAATGTCCAGAACCCACCTTGATTTTGTTTCACAACATATGATATACTCTCTTATACAACAAAAGTTACCCTAAAATGGCAATTGCATTTTTGTTTAAAAAAAAAATGGTTAGAATTCAATGTATACCTACTTGACTGTAATTTTTTAAGTTATTCATTCATTTGCTTTTATTGTCAACGCTCGATTCCAAATCAGCAGCTTGGAACTTGTATTATTACAGGATGGCTCTCCTAAGTACTTTAATTCGTGAAAAAAAATAAATAGGAAAAGATAAAACTTTTAGACAAAGTGATAAGAACAAACAAAATATTTCAAAAGCACAGAGAATCATCATTTTCGGGACATAAGAATATTACCAACGTAATTACTACACGTCTATATTTAAGCCATAAAATAAACATTTGAGCTAACACCAAATAAATGTACCTCAATTTGGCAGGAACTACATCAGATAGCAACACAATTCAACCATTTAAAAGAGGCATTTATCACAAATAAAACATAATATTATATATAATATTTCACGTTCATAACAAAGCGAGCTGCGGGCTACATGCACCTTGTAGCCTCCTCAGCATCCATTCAGTTAAAAAGCATTGCTGGGTAATAAATATACCACCAATGCCCATTATACTTATAATAATAATAACACTCATAAATCACCCAAAAAAACAAAAAAAAAGCTAACTTCACCATACACCCCCCCACTCACTCACATTTATAATAAAGTCACTTTAACTTTTCTATCTACCCCTCTCTTACTTTTTTGTCCCAACTCACTTTACCCAACATAGCTTCAAACTTTCCCGGGAAAATAGAGGAAAGTTGAAAGCGGGAAAACTAAACCGAACTTCAAAACTACAAAAGAGCCATAGAACTTTTTTTATTTTGTTTTTACTTTTTTTTTAGACACGGAAATTCTTGCCCGTGAAGGTTTGACCAAACTGCCAATTAGGTGATGCCACGTTCATGGAGGTTGAGGTGCGTCTGTCACTGCCGGTGACTCTAAAGGAAAGGGCCTGGCCCATTAAATCAGCATTGGATTGCCAATTTTGCCCCCAATTTCGGCTCATGCTGTTCCACCCTGTCTTGGTTCCTTTCACACTAACGTGCACGATATCCCCTGCACCAGCAACGTTGGTTACCAAAACCAAGTTGAAGTAACGGAAACCGTTAATTGTGAATCTGATTCCACCGTTCTTTCGGCATGGGACCCTGTACCACAATAAAATAAATAAATAAATAAATAAATAAAATTATTTATAAAAAGTTCAGAAAAACAGAATAGTAACATCAATCACTGTTGACGGTTAAAACTTCAAGGTTTGACTAGGAATTTTGGTAATTTAATATTTTACGGAGCCCAAAAAAAACCCTGGTGCATTTTCATTGTAGGATGTGTAACTGTGACCTAACACACCGGCACAGAACTAGGTATAATGTTTTCTAGGCCGTGCCCATATTTTCCGGGAAAATTCTTTTTTTTTCTCGGGTCATTTTACCAGTGAACCCCCCAAGGTCGGATTATGAATTTACAGATTCAGCCTGTGATCTGTTGATGGTTTGAGGTTAGTTTGGTCATTATGTGGTAAATACTATAACTAAAGCATAACCAATATCATAAAAGAGAAAAGGTTCTCATTAATAAATTCTGACAAATTAATCTGCGATAGAGAAATAAATATATGATTATGATGTACAACAGTATACTATTAAAAATGTATAAAAAAAAAAAGTATACTATTGAAAAAAAAGCTACATCTTAAACAAGTAGAAGTAGAATATTCTGTAGCGACGAATTTGGATTTTATATAATAAAAAAAAAAAGCTACATCTTGAAACAAAAAGCCAGAACTATATAAATATAAATTGATTAAATATTAATTATGTTAAGCATGATTTTAATTATATCTTGATTTAATTATCCACTGATGTCAATTACAAAAAAAGAAAAAGTTTAATTAAGTAATGCGGCTATTCCGTTTGGGTAAGGGACGACGAAGCTAACAGTATATTATTATTATATTTTTAAGCCACATTTTGATCCAAAGAGCCATAACTATTTAATACAAATTGACTAAATATTAATTATGTTCCAATCTTGAAGTTATGATTTTAGGTGAAACTTTACTAAACCACTAAAAAATAAAAAATAAAAAAAAAGTAAAACGGCTATTCTGGTTGGGTAATGGAGAGTTTGTTTGTTTGTTTGCCAAGAAAATCAGCAGGAATTTGGGAAGAAAATAATAAACATAAAGCAAGATTTTTTAACCTCATCTTCTGAAAGTTCTGTTTGGTCTGGGTATTGGGGTATAACTGTATAAGACATGTGACCTCTGTTTCCAAAATGGAAAAAAAACACCAAAACTCAGATGCAAATTTACAATTTCAGGGGACTTCTATAAAGAGAACTATAATAATACCCCCACTTCAAAAAAAATATATTATAATAAAAAAAAGTAATTAACAAACAAATAAAACAACGCAGACTGAAATTTTCTCACTACTTTCCCCCTGATTTTCCCAGCATCCAAACAGCAAAAAAACATGAGAAAAAGCAAATCTAAGAAAAGGGGTTGCTAAGCTCACCGGCGGTAACTGACGGGGACGATTCCTGCACGGTACTGAGCGATCTTGAGGAACATTGGCATGGCGAGATCAAAGTGAGGGCGTGGTGGGTTGCACCAGCCACCATTGTCACTGGGTAGAGCCAAATTCGGAGGACAAAAGTTTGTGGCGGTGATGGTGATGTAAGGGTTTCCAGGGTTGCACCATGTTGGATCTTGGTCACACTTGATCTCGAAGCATGCACCACAACTCAAGCCATTGTTGAAAAGTGCTGTGCTCAGTGCTGCACTGTTCACACCATACCCTTGACTATACAAATTCCCATATCCACATGCACCACCTAACAAAAAATGGTAAAAAATAAGAATAAAAATAAAAAATCATTTCAGAGCTAAAAGATGTTAACTTTCATTATTAAGACTAAAGGGTAATGCTATTGGGGTGTTGTAAAGCATTAAAAATGAGAACTTTTTAATGGGTATAGCCCCAAAAGGAAATTTGAAGAAAAAATATAGAATGCAAAATGGTGAAGAGTGAGAGAGGAAATGTGTGTTGTAGAAAAGGGTTATACCCATTGTTCCAGAGGCATCACTGCCACCGTAGAAAGTGGCATGGGCACTCTGCCATGAGCCACCGGTGTAAACACCCGGAATTCGAGCACTTGTTGCAACAAAAAGAGTGACCAATGATGCAATGCAGAGAGGACCCATTCCAGCCAATGCAGAGAGAGAGAGAGAGAGAGAGAGAGAGAAATTTGTTAGGTTGTGTTGGTTTGAGTGAATGGGAATGGGCACGAGGTAAAGGGGTACTTATGGAGAGAGAGAGAGGCTAAGGAGTGGGGAGAATCTGCAAATTGTAACCAGCTAGTTAATGCAGTTTCTCTCTCTTCACTCTTTTTCTTTTAGTCACTATCTTATTATTTAATTTATTTTTGGGCAATGTGGTTTGAAAGGGGCTTTTGTTTTTCAATAATTAATAATATCATAGGATATTCTCACACACAGATAATGTTACGTACAATGTTACGACCACATCTTAACCGTTGATTTCCGCCAATCAACGGTTATCATTTATTGCGAATTAATAATTAATTAATGAGTTTGATTTGAAAAATAATAACCGTTGATTGACGAAAATCAACGGTTAAGATGTGGTCGTAACATTGTGCGTAACATTATTTGTGTGTCAGAATATCCTATCCCATTAATAATTAATTAATTGGTTTCAATTTTACTTTTATTACAAGAAATGGTTTTGGGCCACTCATTGACAGAACATGAATTGATGTGCATGTGCAATGCACATGTGCCTTCTTCCTTGAGGTTAATTTTGTTTGGTCACAAGAGAGGAAGGCGGAACACTAACCATTTTGTTACTGTTGGCCAAAAAAATTATCAGATATTATGTTAACAGTAAATTTTATCAAAATGTCATGTGGCATATTTCGCTATACTGTGTAGTGAAATATGTGTGCAAATAATTCGCTATACAATGTAGCGAAATATGCCACGTCAGAATCAAAAATGTCACGTGTCAAAATTGTAGGGTAGCGAATTTCTTCAATTTTGACACAACATTTTTGGTTCTGAGCAATCTGACGTGACATATTTCACTATACTGTGTAGCGAATTATTAGCACACATATTTCGCTACTACGTGACGTTTTGGCAAAATTTACTGTTAGCGTAGCAGTCTAGTAATTTTTTTGACAAACAATGATACTTTGGTCACTGTTCCGAAGAAGGCAAGCCTGAGCTTAATTTGTAGAAGAAAATGGTGATCGATCTTTGAAGTCACATAGCTAAACTTGTGAGGCTCTGCTCTTGCTTTCTTACTTAAATCATGCTTCATGTTGTCTACAAATAAAAGTAATCTTATTCAGCTCATAATATGAAGATTTTCTTTTTCCCAATAAAATTAATCTCTTAACATCAAATTTATAGCCTCTCAATTGAAAATTTAATTTTAGAAGTACTTTACGTCAAAATGAAATAAAGATACATCTAAACATGGAATCTAAGATAATGACAATAAAATTACTATGCTATTTTTTCCTTTTCTTACGAGCATCAAATATATAAATAAAACATTAAAAAAAGTGTTTGGGATTTAGAGAAAAAAATACAAGGTATCTTAGAAATTTTATTTTTCTCTTACGACATAAATTTTCTAAAATACTCCATACTTTTTCCCTAAACAAACGCATCATTTTAGTTGCATGAAATACTTTTATCTTTATGTCAAGAAAAAAATATAATTATTGCAAGGAACATCCACTTTCTCTCAACTTGTTTAATTTGGAATAAATACCAATTAATTGGTTGGAATAAGTTCATGGTGTGGTTATGGACTTATGGTAATTGACATTTCTTTGTGGTTGTTGATGGGTGAGTTATTAGGGTGTTTTAGGATGCTGAATAGGAAGGAATGAGTTTCTATGGAAAGTATCACAAGCAAAGGTGAGGGAGATTTTCGTACTCTAGAGGTGGGGCTCTAGCAAGGTGCTAAGGCTTGGTTTCTCAATGGTTATCTCACAAGATTCATAAGACATCATAAAAAGTAGGATGAGAAACATTATTAGTATTATTTATTAAAACACCACCTAATACAAATGACAATAAAATAATTATCTAAGTGACATATTTTTAAATGAAGATAGCACTAAGTGTTCAGTACTAATGTAATATTGACAATTTCTATTAGGGAATACCTCATTAGTTCCACTAATAAAGAAATATTGTTAGACAAGAGACATGGTAGTAACAGATTTTTAACTCTCTTTTTTCAAAATTTTTTATTATTAGATAAAATATCATGTTGACACCGCTAATAGAGAGTGGAACTTAGTTACCTAGTAAAGCCAACATAAGATTTCACCTATTATAATAAAGAGTGTTAAAAAAGTGTTGAAGAGAGTGTTGCTAGTAATTATCCCTTAAAGTTTTCGATTGACAAACAAAATATTTTAAGATGTTATATATCATGAGATTATAGAAAGATATACACCCACTACTTTATATTTTTCGAAGCATATAAAAGAAAGAAAAGAATAATTATTGATTGAATACGATTCTTAGGCAATAAAAAATGGAACAACCTTTAGGAATTTAATAAAAATCGTCTTATCCTTAGAACACAATAAGAACTTCAAAAACATTGTGTATTCTCATGTATCTAGAAAAATAAATTTTATAAGCGAAGCACGACCCGCTTAATCCCAAAAGAAAGAAATTGAGAAGCATTCTTACAAACACCAAATTTTACCCATGAATAATCCCACAAGAACTTAAATAATGACTGACTTTATGGCTCAAAATGAAGGGCGATCATGACCAACTCCTTTCCTTTTGTTTGGAGGTTTATCCCTGGTAATTAGCATTGGGTGATTGATCTTGTTAGAGAAAATAAACTTACATAAGTAGAATTCAAGCTTTTTTCATAATGATTAAATAAAGTAAGAAGTCTTTATTGATTAGTCAAAAGTAGAAGAATTAAGAATACCTAAACTACTAGAAAAGAGAAAATTCATAAGGATTAATCTTCCCAACACATATAGCCCAAAGAAAAGAAAGAAAAGAAACATGAATCTTAAAACAGAAATAAAACCCTTCTATTATTGATAGAAGGAAAACATAATGAAGAAGAGACCATTGGGGAATTCAAATATCAAAGTATATGAGAAGTAGCAATAGTCAAAAAAGTACCTAAAAGAGAGAAAGAAGTCATCTTAAAAGGCCTAAAATGCTTAAACCCAACAAAAAAAAACCTAACAAAGGAAACACAAAAAGTAGAGAAAAATAGAAAAAATGGCATAGTAACTTGCAATAGAATGAAAAGGAAGATGTTACATATAGAAGACTTGATATCAAGAAACTTTTTGACTTCAATTGTGAAGCACATTTTTCAATAATCGTAATGATATCTCCCAATAGCCATAAAATTTGCAACTCGTTTGGTGGACATTTTAAGGTAACAATATATAGGATAAGAAGACTAGATAAAAATAGGAAATAATAACAGCCTGATAAGCTCATATCTTATTCCGTGATTGATATGCACTAAAAAAAATAGCAAAATATAATTATTATATCTATATTGTATTTGAATGAAACTAGATAGTCTCGGGATACAATTTAAATAGACAAAAGTATCCTTCATAAATGATTTCTTATAAAAATTTTAAAAAATTGGCTTTTAAATTTTTTTTCGTTTGATTTATTTATGGATTAGTTCCGATTCTAAATTTTAAAAAAAGAAATTCTAAAAGTAATAATTTTAAATAAGATCTATTAAAATATAAAAATAACTACAAAAATTTTCAAAATAAAAATTATATTTTTACCGAATAATTTTTTAAAAAATAAGTTTTAAAATGATTGTCAATTTTTATGTATGATAAATGTCAAAATAATTTGAATATTAGTACAAAAAAATTAATTCATATTATCATGATAAGGCTAGAGATTTGTTGTTTAGTGGTTGCTTTAATGGCTGAGATGCTTAGGCTTTTAGTTGTGGTCATCGTGTTGGAAGGTCATCTTCCAAGGATGAAGCTTGATTTGGGAAGTCGCTGATCTCACACCACACTTTTTCCATCCTCTATTTGGGCCTGTATCTTTCCTTGTCCCCCCTTCATTGGGTAGTGCTTCTGTGGGGGTGTGCTATCTCTCTTTTCCTTTTCGACCAACTTATTGATAGAGACTCCAGTTCTATTCCTGGGCTAGCTACTAGCTTAGACTCCGCCTTTTAAGTGTGGCCAAGTGGTAAGTCCTATCTTTGCTATATGAGAATATCTTATCTTTCGAGGTGTCATGAGACAATTAGCGAGTTCTAATTTAGTTATTCCTTTTGTTGCTCCATAATGCTCTATCCAAAATGAAAGTGAAAGAAGCTCATGTACCCACTTTTCTTTCCCCCTATTACTAGGATGGTTTGGAGAAGAATTTATTCCACTTTATAGTGAAGTGTCATATCCTAGAGAAAGGGATTTACTGGTCGTTAATATGTCAGGGCCAGTAACGGTCAATTTGCTGAGTTCCTTCGGTATAGTTCTTTCAAGCGCCCCACATCATGATGAAGGTGGCTGGCCGGTGGCAATGATGTTAGAGGTCAATGGCAGTGGTAAAACTGACTCTCATGTTCTTAGGGAAGTTTAAGAAGACAAAGGACAACTTTTGGAAGAAGAGTTTCCTATTTTATCCTGTTGAATCCTAACCCAAGCCCATTTTAGGGTAGCTTATCAGACTATTTACAAGATAAAATGAACCAAAAGGATAAAAGAATATTATATTTTGTTGGCTCACTAAACAATTTAAGAGCATAATATAATAGTTTATTCTATTTGGTCTCCAGTATCTTGTCCATAAAATATGCCCTTAAGCTATCATTAAATTACATAATGAAGTAAATCACCTTACCAATTTTCAGTAAGATTACTTCCCATAGGACACATGAAAGTAAGGGTCAGGGTTTGTGTTATATATGGAGTTGGGAAGCCAAATATGAGAGGGATAACAACCCAACTTAAGGAAAACCTTGTAATTGGTGATTATTGCTAGCAAATCTTTAGTTCTTGGTGCATATACAATATATGTTTTGATTATAATAAAGACATAATAGAAAAAAATAGTAGAGTATTAATCAAGAGGAAAAAGCATAAAACATGTCTAAAGATTGAAGATGAATGTGGAGTCATAGAAATAGATTAATAACATATCAAATA